TAACTGTGTAGGAATGATTTCAGTTTTTATTTAGGGTAACAATCTACTTATTTATTTGTTTGCTTATTTAGTATGTTTTTTGTTTGTTTATGTGTCCTTTAAAAATAAATGAAATAACCCAGTGAATATATTTATTTATTTTTCATGCAAACTGTGTTATCCTCTACTTCAATTCCCCAAGTTCTACCCTTAGTTCAGTTTGCTTTGAAAATTTGTTATTAGGCAAAAACATAATCATAGTGACTTGTACTTCTAAGATTATTGTAAGTAAGGTAAGAGAAGTCAGACACTGTGTTAGCATTTGATTCCTATACTAGATTTGTTTATTTGATAAAGAACACAGTGATGCATTAATGTTTACTGGATAAAATTCCAGACACATATTATTGTCTGTAGTCATCATATCAACTTTTTAGAGTATTGAAGTATTGTAAGCAACCAATGACTAAATGAACCATACAAATCTTTAGGACAAAACTGACCACGAAAAGCTATTAAACAATATCATATGGTACTTTTGTGTTAGTAGAAGCATCCATAATGACTAAAAATGCGAAGACTGTAAAAATCTTGACATGGTATTTTCGACTTACAAATGTATTTCTCAATCATTTACGAAAGGTGATTGTTATACTATGTTCTATGCTTTTGTGACCAGAGTTCACTAAGGTGCAAGAAATTAGTAACTGTCCACTGATTGGAAAAATTTACTTTGGGTCTCGTATAACTAATTGTTATACGATTTTAACAGACTGGTTAGAGAAAAATACTTCGTTGAAATCGGCAGCTAAATAATTTATTGTACAAATGACTATGAGGTATACATGTCCTGTAAGGATTGTATTACTGTAATTTTGAATTCACACAACTGAAACATAGTCTATTTGCGACTCCTCGTAAAAAGATTGTTTCTTATGTATTGTGATTTAGTTCCAACGTGGCAGTGATAATTCTTAGATGTCAGGAGTTCATCCACAGAAAGTCTAATAAACCGGTTTGTATGCTTGTCGATACTCATCATTAAGGTTTATTCGTAAACTAATTTTCCCACTGAAATTTCAATCAGTCGTTGGACATGCAGCTATACAATGGAGACCACTGGGGTGTTTAAAAAACTGTAGAGATAAAACTGTATTTCATGAATTTGAATTTTACAGAAAGTGAAGTCAACTGTATTAGTGTGAGCGAATGCAGCGTATTAATTCAATGAAAGTGTGTTATATTTTGGTTTTGAATTCCCACTTGAAATTGCCTTTTAACATTTTCAAGTCACTTATCAAGCTGCAACATCAATAGTCAAATTATTGTTCCTCAAAATACACATGAAGAAGTAAAACACGTAGCAGAATGTCTTTTGCAGTGTCAATTCTTATCATGTGGTTAACTAACTTTAATCATTGTAACTGCTAATTAGATAATCACCTATTCTACACATGTGCGTAAATTCATGTTCAAAATTTTCTAAAAAATGTAAGGAAAACGGGACTAACCAATTATCAAGGATAGTTGAAAAGATAACTTCCAATACGACCACGACTAAACCTAAATTATGGATACTATCGTTTTCTTACCTTTAAAATAAAGTCACAGAAACTATTCTATGAATGTGTGAATATTTGTTAACCGTGGTATGTTGTTTGTCGGCTCTGAGATGATTTTTGATTTCATCAGACAAGAAATATTTCATTTAGATTTCGAATAGGGTTAGATAAAATGGAACGTTGAAACCCGGTGCTTTCAATAGGAAATAATTGAATGTTTTACTGGAAAATGAATTCGTCAGTTTGCCGTTATGCATCATATTTCTCAGAATGTTCATCATCTTTGCTAAATGAGGCAACTGGACGTTGGGTTTATTGTAACATTTATTTAATTACATTATGGATTTTGTCACGAATGGACGTTCGTTAAGGCATGGCACTACCGAAAATCAGGCAGAAGTTAATAATTGATTCATCTGTGTTTAGGACCCACAACTCCACCAGAGATTAAAGTGACAACTGTCATGTTATGAGGATGGCATGTTGTTGCTCATTCACATACACGAAATGCAGTAGTCTATGAATTATGAATTCTGTCTGTTGTTGGTATAACGGCACTTCTGTCCAACGCCATTTGTTACAATCTTCTCTCTCAAGCAGTTTTATCTAAACCACCCATCGAAACTCTACCATCTCGAAGAAGGTGTGGAAGGTTTGTAGTCATTCTCTAATTGATGTCTTGTAAGAATCTGCCTGGAATAAGGTAAATATAAATATTTCGGTGATTAATAACAAACAAATTTTTTCAAGTATCTCATTGTTTTCAAATATTGAATACCTTTAATGAAGAAATTAAGTGTAATTAAAACAAATCAAATCTTCGTGTTTTGATTATGTGTAAGAAATCATGTTGAATAGTAGTCATCTCAATGATATATGTAGCATTTAATTTGGAATGTTAACGATGTCATAATCGTAAATCCTAATATAGTTGTACAAACTACCTCATTGCTTTAAATTTCTTGGATAGTAGAAATATTGCTATAATAATTTAAGTAATTTCATTCAATCTTCCCGCTTGATGAATTTGAACAAAGCAAGAACAGCAAATCAAACAAGATAATATTTCGTTAGTTACTATCGAATGAATACAGCCGATAAAACATTTTTATTATCCATATTCAAAATATTCACATACTTCAGCTATTGAAAGTATAGATGAAAGTCATTAATATTATACAACTAAGGAACAGAATGGAAAGGATTATATATATATATATATATATATATATATATATATATATATATATATATATATATATATATATATATATATAATTATTGTCATAAGCTTTCTAATCGTTTTCGTGTCTCACTTATTTCTGTTTGTCAAAAATTTTGTCTGTGTTTTTGGTATAAGTCCACTGTTCTGTTCACTGTACTCTATATCGTTCCATTTTTCCTAGTAGCTTAAGATAGCGTTTCATTTATATATAATTAAAATAGTACATTTAAGCAAATTGGTGGTAAACAATACGTTTTATTTCCTTTTTCTTTTCAAATTTATGTACACACAAATTGTAAAGATGTATTGACCTTTGGATAAAGAAACGTCCCGTGTGTCCACATCATCCGAATTTCGTCAATGAAAACTGAGGTATTCAGAATAAGTAATTTTCTTTATGTAGGATCTCTTTGTTTTTTGTTTTAAAAGTATTCCTATTTGTTGTTATCCTTTTCTTTATGCATCGCCTAGTCATAGAGTAAAATCATCAGTATTCCGTTTATGTCTGCTGAGTAAGGACAATGTGATTCCTGTTATCCCCGCATACTTCACTTCATACCACCGGGCTTTCTCTTCACATATAGGTATTGTATATCATAAAGTTTTCTCTCTCTTTTGTATAATATCCATGAATTCGTCAATTTCTTTGTTATCGCATCGATATCCGTCGGCTGTATAACATTAAATTATTTTTAAAATATGTTACAAATAATATTCGTATGCGCCAGAGTTTTGGTCGAGTATGTGATGTTCCTTTGTCATATCTGACTAATTCATGGTGAGAGTTTATTACATCAATCTGCATTCTTCTCATTAAACTATTTGATATCTGAAATACATCGTTTCCCTCATTCATGCACATGTTTTTTTCGATGTTAATTATGAAGTAAGTTATTGAGGTGAAAAGAAGAGGCTGAGAAAGCAAGTTGCTCACAATATCTATTTGGTGTTTTGACCAATATTTTGTTTCTCCAACAAGCCTTTCATAAACTGAACAACCCTATTATATTTGTTATTACTGCTATAACATATTGCTTATGTAACTTCATTCGATTGTAAATATATTTGGCTATTTCCTCCAATTTTAACTTCTGTTTTTCTTCATAATTTTAGAATAGTTTGTTGTTTTATTGCGTGTCTGCTTGTGCCTAGTGTGGCTCAATAACATGGATTTGCTTACTTTATTTCGGCACTGAGATGAAATTTCAGGGAAAATGAATTATCATCAACATTACTGTATGAATTGTATCTTTGCTGAGTTGCTAATAATCTAGTCATCACAAAAGAATCAAAGAATTTTGTACCCATTGGTTTGATGAAAAACCTATACGCTGTAATACGCTTCCATCATCATTTTTCTGTTTTTATTCATGCTTCCGACGTTTGGGTAGATTATCGCCTAGGCACCCTCCAATTTGTATAAGGAAATATGATTTGTTTTCTGAATTCGACCAATGATTTCTCTTCAGATAGAAGTAATTTAATCAATTCATCGGGACAATTTTTATACTGAAGTTCTTGGCAAAATTAGGAGTTTTCCTAGTAGTAAATATAAAATCTCTTGTCATTATCTTGATGTCGTAATCCGATAGTTTTAGTCATTTTTATGAGCACTTATTAGAGACTATTTATGTTCATTGTTAAAACTGTAATATATAATTAGTAGAAAAGTACTTTGGTGAGTCAGAAGCCACCATCTAGGTGTATATTAATTTAAGGATATTTTTGCGATGAAATTTAGTAGTTTCATTTATCATGGTGAATACTTACCATAAGATAAGGTCAAGCGTGTTAAACTTATGTAATTAACAGTGAAAACTTGCTAGTCAGTAATAGTGCTTTCGAAATATTATTTGCACCCAGACATAATTACATTATTCAGTTCCCAAAACTTATTAAATATTACTGAAGTGGTTATTCGGCTTATATTCACTCTTATACTTTCGAATGATAATCATAAGCGTTTAGTTGAGATCCATTAACGAGGACTTAATTAAAAAAGGAGATCGTTGTTTTCTAGATATTTAATTGAGCATTTCAAATCACTTAGTTCTACATATGTCACGCGGTATGTTTCATCTGTAATTTAACACAAACATACGTGTGCATCTATTTGAGATACAACTGAACTTGATATTTCTCATTTCAATACTATTTTTTAACTGCAAGATTAATAATAATAAAATAATAATAATAATAGCAATAATAATGGTTTTTATTTCTAAACTTTTATAGGTAGAAAGAAAAGCTTTTATTCGCGATACGTATCTGTGGATGTAATCTTTCCAACAATAGTTGTTTGATCCATTTGTATACATTTGCTCAGTTTATTGTTTTATCTCATCTCTATATCTCTTGGTAGTCTACATTCCAGTGGATTTTATGCATTGAATCGATTAGATACAGACAGACAGCTTATATATAATGGCTCGTATTTCAAAACCTACGCGTATCTGTTTGATTTTGTCAGCAGTCGCATTGCTTTTCTTAGCCTTATTATGCGTAATTGGGATATTTACATTCAACTACTTATTTACTTATATGATTTCAAAGGTTAGTCATCAATGCTTCATCTGTCGTCAAAATGCTTTCTTTTATTTATATATGGTATAAGCTGATGTGTGATAACCAATCTTGGTATATCCTAACCTTTAAGATATACTTTGTTGTGTAGTTAAAAATTCAGGGTTCTGCTATTACACGAAATAAAAATAGTGCTCGGAAATGAGCTCCAAATGTTTATTTCAGCTATAACATGAATTGATACTGTGACTGACTTCAGTGTAGTAAATTTCTATGTACTTAGTTTCATTTTAAAGATTCTCACACGTAATGTACATGAGAATGTATTATTTCATATTCTAGTCCCACGTTGGGTGGATAGTTTAGATCACAGTCTAAAACTTAGTTGATTCCAACACACTGCATATTGTTGAATCGGCAATTTCAAAGTATGTTAATAATTTATTGAGTTGAGAATAGTATTTTTATGGCTTATTGTATGTTGCACAATCAATTCATTTCATAACTTACGAGAACACCTGTTTAGTAGACCATAGCTCTCAATCAATGTGGAATAATCCCCGCTATTCACAGTGACCTTCGGGATGGACACGAAAATTTTTCATGTCATTCGTAGAAGATTAAATCTAGTCAGCAGTTGCGAAATAGTTGGGAATATATATGACTCAGGAAACAAATATTTAGATGGAAGTGCTCCCTCGGTTGGATTTAGTGATGGAAAATTCATGGCATATTCTATGATAATAATAATTATGCAGTTTAACCACCCAGTGAAGTTATTTATGTACTAGACTATCAGCTACGTTTCTGATACCAGCTGATTGCTCTAATGGAAGCAGGATTGGAATCTGCAGTCCATTATTTAGAAATCAAGTGTTTTGACCCAGTGAATCACATCACTAGTCATCATCTTCAGTGTAAGGTTATACACCTATCTGGTCGTATGCATTATTCTTATTAATGCTTTGTCATGAATTCTCACTGTGTATTTGTAAAGTTGTTTAAAAAAGAATAAATACAAATAATTATCATGATATATATTTAGGATTCATTTATTAATGACAATATACGTATCAATGAAATAATGGTTGTTAGATGATTGCTGACTATTGCATCTGGTAAATATTTATGATTTTCTGTTTATATTGTTGGTGTTTTTATGCTACAGAAACTTGCTATTATACCCGGTAATGAAGTTTATGACAACTGGTTATCACCAAGTGTGCCTGTGTATTTTTCAGTATACCTTTATAATCTGACTAATCCTGAAGAAGTCCTCAATGGAGATCGGCCGAAGTTTTCAGAAGTTGGACCTTATGTTTATCGGTGAGTTGTCTTTTTTTATTTATTAAAAATAAGTAGGTATGCACACATCATGGATCCTATTTCAGTGAAATTGAATGTGATCATTGAGAATTTGTAAAACTTGCTTCCTTTCAGTAACATTATTATATTTTCTTTTTGCATCTCGTCTTTCCAACTCATACCATTTATAGGTACAACGTTTTCTTTCTTTTTGTTTTTGTTATGTGCTGTTTTGTTTCTCTCTTCTTTACAAACTCTACTTAAAACATTCTTCGTTCTTTCACACTGTATATGTCTCGACCTTTTTGTTATCACTTACGCCAGTAAATATGCTAGTATCCACTTTTCTAACACCTTCAAACATTCTGTTCACTTTTGGCTTTGCTACCGACATGCCAATATGTTGTTGTCAAAATTAACTGAGACTACCCATAATCTATGTAGAATTTTATTTATTGTTCATGTAAAAACTGGATGCAATACTGTAGTGAAATACTGAGAATCCCATTCTGTATCACGAGTACTGTTTTGGAATAAAGCTTATTATTATTGTTATTATTCTTATTATTAACTATATTGTTCATAACTTTAATATACAGCGAGGATCGACAACGAATTAAAGTAAATTTCTCTGAGGAATCTCCTCCCAAACAAGTGGAATTTCGACATAGGATTTTCTACTATTTTGAGCCTGAACTTTCTGTCGGCCCTGATGATGAAGGACTCATAACAAGTCTTGATTTAGTGACAGTAGTAAGTTATATACTAATTATATGTGCTGTATTTTACTTTACGAATGGTGATGCATTCTCAGTTTTTCTATTCACTCATTCTGAATGAGAATGATAAAAAGATAAGCGTATTAAGCATCAGTCTAGTCATAGTTTAATATCAATTAAAAAAATCACTGGTAACCACAAATTATCGGATTTTGTCTCGGGGTGCTCCATAACTCCTTCAATAGTCCGTTTATACGGTTGTAAATCTCAAACACAGATATATAAGGTTTTTGAATCGTATCTAGAAATTAATTCATAGTATTGGCTAATCAAACAACTTCGTCTAAAGCACTCATCTATGCACTTAAAAACTTACTGCGTAAAAGTGTAGACTTCATAGGTGACTCGCTTTCTACGGTTCTCAGATGGGGGACATTGATTTTTCTTAGGAGAACTTTATTTACATCAATGTTGAATTTCATATTCTCCTGTTGCTCGGTCTTTTCTAATCCTAATTCCATATACACCTATCAACTCACTTGTTCATGTGTAAGTCGATATACGAATCTTCCGAAATGAGTGTTATCAAAAAGGCTTGCAAAAAGCACTATCCACCATAGTTGTGAACTAGTAACAGTGGACACACTGGAGGTGTCATAATTGAAAATACATATTCTCAACACTGCTCACTCATTTTCCGGGACATTGCGTTCATCTCGCTAAGATGATGGACATACTCATTCTTTACCTTGCCATAGCACTAGTTATTACCAATGACGAGCCACATTGTGTTCTATAGTAAAATCATCTCCTCTGTTTCGAAGCTTCAAATGTCGTTTCTTTTTTTGATATTTGCCAAGTATTATTGACCACCATTCATAATTATTAACGAAAGTGTGATTTTGCTCACCTTTCGCTTGGTATCCACACATCTTTCTTTCTATGATTTTATTGATTACATATGATTTACTAAATGTATTATCATTATTATGCAACTGCCAATGCGAACTTACAAATTCTCATAGATGCTTTGATACATTTTGACTAACTTTCAAGTGTCAGTTTTTGTGGATTTGATTGACTCCAAGGCAAATTCCTTCGCGAGCTGATATCAGTCAGTAAACCATTATTAATCAGAGAACGCTAGATAACTAATTATTTCTTCAAAATTTAGAACGGAAAGAAACTTTTTTGGCTGAAAGAAAATAACTCACATATTTCAAAATATTTAGTCTGTGATCGAAATAGCAGAAGCAACAGTCACTATTTATTTGCCAGTATTGTTTTTTTTTATTTTGACGGATCCTACGAACCAGGCTGTTGATACATTCAATTGTGTAATCAGTGACATTAGCGTAACTGCTACTCATTTAAACGTTTTTTTTGGTAAACTGAACAGATATGGAATCGATATACAATTTACTGACTTTTGTTCACGTGCGTTCAGATTTTTGAGCGCATAGTTGTCTTGTGTCAGTGTTTCACGTTAAATAACTCAAATGAGTTCATAATGGCGCAAATGTATTCAATTTCCTCGGAATCCTGAACAACATTTATATTCATAATATTGATATTTTTGAAAAAAATTTTTAAAAGACATATTTAGTATTATATTGACTTACTATTGTTCATAATATTTTAGGGTGCAAACGCTCTTCCAAGTGCCTACAAGTCTATTTCAATTTTCTACACATTTACACCATTTGTGACACGGTCGCCTCGTGAAATCATGTGGGGTTATGAAGACTCATTCCTAAAATTTTGTACTAGTATAAACTTTTGTGAAAGCAGTCTAGGTGGTATGATGGCCCAGGTAATTTGTTTTGGTGTGTTATATTTATATTATATATATTACATTTTCATGCATATATATATATATATATATATATATATATATTCGTATGCAGAGATATGGCTCATTGGTTTAGACAGTTGGTTTCGCGTTAGCAATTCATATCGATATATAGTATCAGTAGCCATCATGTAATGAACCTGTTTTTATGATTTAGTGTATGAAGATATAAATGGTTACTGAATTTTACCTATTAATGACAAATACGTACTGTTTAATACTTTTCAAGATGCGATAAATTGTTGAACTGAAGTTGGGCACTGATGTTGTGATTTTTTTTAAGGTTTATACCTAAATTGAAGTTATTTGTTATTGAGGTATATTAAGCTTAGGCTAATGGTTCCACTTTTGTAATTATAGTTAAAGTAGGTGTATATCTTCATTTCATCTTATCACTTTGTTGCTGTAAGGCAGCAGAAAACCTTAGAGATACAGTGTGTGTGTGTGTGTGTGGGAAATACTTATCTTGTAAATAGTCAAGCTGAGTTAGAGTAACAGTGATTTACATCGATGTCATATAGAGGCAGAACAAGTTAATCACTAAATGAAGCATGCTATGCTCAGTAGTCCTACAAGACGTTAAAATCACTACAATGTAACATTTGTCTATGCTCTTCTGTCACTGATAATCAATGTGCTGTGCTGTGATGTTTTATATTCTTGTTGATAATATGAAAGGAAACATGGGACAACTGTATAACCGTATTTTTATAACTCCCTCTATTACTTACTTAATTTACTCAACTTTTCTCACTACTGCATATCATTATGATCAGTGTGTTCGGTATTAATCCTACCGCTGTCCGTTAAGTACGTCGGTGGGACAGTGGTTAGGACTCTCGTCCACCATGCATATGGTCCGAGGTTCGATCCCCTGCCGACGCACACCTGATATCTATGGTCGGCCTGAGAAATTTGGGCTACCGATTCCATGCTGAAAATTCCATACTTGTACCAAAAATACAGTGTGGAATCAAGCTGTAAATCAAATAAATAAAAATATTAAAAAAATAATTTTTTTTCGCTTTCTTCATTACTCCAAGCTGACTTAATTGTGTATGTTGAGTGTTCTAATTAGCTTTCTCACCGTAAACTATGCCTACACTTTGAGAGCTGGTTAAATACGAGTGGGCACTGTAATCAAGAGTATTTTCAATCTGACTGATCGTATAAGCCACATAATTTGTATTGTGTTAGTTGGTTTACTATTTAAATATATACCACAATATATATATATATATATATATATATATATATATATATATTTAAATGAAAGTTCAAGGTAAAACTCATTATTCAACTATTTCCTCTTTTTTTTTGAAATCATGTATTTGTCTATGCATAACTGTAAGATCTGATTCACTGTTTTTTTGGGCGGAGTTCACTAATTCATCAAATAATTTTATAAAATTGTCAACACCATATACTAAAGTAGTCAACGTAATTAGGCAGCGTTGAGAAATCTGAGTGTGATAATAGATTCGAATATAATACTTTCTCTACTTCAGATATATGTGATATAGTGATTTTTGATTTTGTTTTTTCTTCTGTAATATACATTCACTTCGACTAGTTATCTTTATTTTTCATGTATCCTTCATTCATTTACTTTTTTAGAAAAATGGTACAAAGTTTTTTGATTTAGTTGTCGACACCGGTGTCGATGATATATCAAACGTTGGAAAAGTATTAAAATACAACGGGTTAACGTGAGTTTTTACCGAAATAAAAATGGATACTTCACCTATAAGTGTTTTTTTGTTTAAATCTATATCACATACTGTATGAGTGGATGTTATCGGAAATGTGGAAGAAAATAAAAACGGTTGCGTGTTTGTAGTAGCATTTTTTTTCGAGGTGTTGTCTCCTATCTGTCCTATACAAAACTTCCGCGATTATCGCATGAAACCGGACTTTTACATCCCTCAAACATTGAAAAAAAACTGTCTGTCATGTTTACATAAGTTATAACTCTTTGGATCAAGTACTCAACTGAGAGTTTAATATGCTTTCTAGTGGGAACTAGTTTACCTTGAAGCATTGTTTAATATGGAGTCAGTTAGTAGTGAGCTGATCTGTTTTCGTACTGGTGGTTAGCATCTAACGTTACTCTTGATTTATCTAGCTAATTCATAAAACAAAAGCCTATTTATCACATAACATCGTTACAAATAATGTAGTGTGAATTTGTAGTACTGAGTTGTGTGCATACACATGATTGGCCTGAACTATATTATGGTTCCAAATGGTCAGCTGATACATTTTTGCACTGCCTTACGTGTATGCCTGACTTTTCCATATGCTTTATATGGTAAAAAGAAGAATGTGCTGCGATTATATCCGTAGCTAACATAAGAAGCCGGTTTCAAGAACAGCATTAAGAAGGACTTTTGCGAAGTTGTGTCTTATGAAGCGGTGTATATTTAGGTGTATTTGAATAAAGCAGCACTCAGCAGCACAATTTCCTTTTGATACAGCAGCTGAACTTCATTTTTAGATGAAATCATTTTGTTACGTACAGTCCGTCTATACAGTGTTGGAGATGTATAAACTTTATCACTGTTGTACTGCTAACAGTTATGTAGATTTTGATTTAGAAACACACTTTACAGTCAGTAGTGCTGTTGAATAAGTGTAAAAGAAATCAATAAGCATGCACTATATATTCATATCAGATGTAGATTTTTAATTATTAGCTTTCTTCTAACAATCATTTGTTGTTTTTATTTTGTTTTCTTTCAGAGAGTTGGATTATTGGCGTACGACTCATGCTAATATGATAAATGGTACAGGTGAGTTATACTGTTTGTACAGTTCTTTATATTTATATAGAATTCAAAACAATGGAATTTACCTAAGGTTAAATGTATATACATATATAGAAGTTTTTTGTCCGTCCAATATGTACCATAAATCGTTACCTGTTCATATCCAAAGTATTAATACTGTCGACTAGTAGACAGCAGATAACTGGTGTCAACATAGCACCTAACATTACTGCGTAGTTCACGCCGTCATGAAGTAAAAAAGGAGATAAATCTACATTGTGCAGTATCATTAGATGAAAACGGAAAACTTGAAACAGACATGGAAAAAGAGGCTACTGTAATCAAAGTGAAAACAGTAAGATTAATTGTAAACCGTACTACCTAAACTATTCAGGATTGGATTCCAGGAGTCACATGCACTTCTATCAGGTAAATTAAGTAGCACAGAAAAGAAAAATATGATCATTAGATAGATCATTTATTGGCCAGTATTTTGTCTGAAAGCACAAGTCGTTATCTCCAAAGTTAGCAATAAAATATCTCCGTGAATTGACTGGTTCTAAAACGTCCGTCGAGAAACCTACTGACGCTTTCTAACTGAAGGTCGAGGGCAGTATTTAACGATTCCTGCAGCAGATATGAGGTATTGCTAAAATTAAGAATTAGTGGTGTTGGGCTCTGCCTAGCTAAACACTAAAAAATTTCCACTTGCCTTCTTGTATCCCTTAGGGCTGTAATAAGTGCATACACAAACCGGTGTGTTATCATTATTCAGAAGAAGCTAAACCTCTTTACTGAGCTTGTTCAGTAACTGTTGGTCATGGAGTAATTCATTACAGAGTTTAGTTGAGTCTGAATGTCTCCATATGGAACAACACCTTTCTTAATTGCTGAAATAAATGTTGAGTAAGGATTAATGATTACATTGTTGGGTCGTTGTGACATACAGGTTCGACTGCTACCTCAAAGTAGTAGCACTTACTGCTTGGGTTTGTATTAGCTCGGTTGTGACCTAAACTGCTGCCAGATAAACTGTGAGGTTCTAAATTGGTGATACTAATTTTGAAGTCTGATATTAAATTCCAAAATAATTTTAATTTATAGCTTGTATATTATCATGAAAATACAATTTTGTAAAAACGGTTCCATCCAAATGTATGTTTTGGGTTTACTGTCGATGTTCACTTACCATCAATCGGTATAAACTTTCAATGTATATATGGAGTTTATTAATGTATAGAAATGATTTGTCTTTCTATTCATCCGTATGCACAGATGCATATTTCCAAGTATGTGTCATTAGAATTGTAAGTTTCAGATAACAATTACGTAATACAGAAAAGGCTAATCGGGTAGAAACTAAAATAAAATTAAGTAAACAAATTTTATATGACGTAACATAGTTGATGAGATTAAGAACTCAACGGAAATTGAAAGAAAGTCTAGTTAGGATCAACATCATGTGTTATTTATTTATTACATTATTTTTCTTTCCCCCACTCTTACACTTACATTTCTTATGACATTGGTCCTAACATAACCTTTTTTCAGTTTTGGTTGAGTTCTGCTCAATCCTGTCAACTGAATTACGTCATGCAATTTAATTTGCTTAATTTTTATTTTAGTTTCTGCCTGATTAACCCTTTCTGTGCCACACTTCTAATGACGAATGCGTGTTTGTTTCTTTCGTTTATATTGTCTCTTGAGGATTCTTAGTTCACAGAAAATTATTCTTAGTAGTGTTATTTCTTTTATTTTTGAAAAAAAACAGACAACAACTTCAGCTTGCATAAAATATCAGCACACAATGATTGCCCAATTTTCAGTTTAAGCATAAATTAAACAAGTGATTTTTCAGCTTCTATTTTCATCAAATATTTCTACTGAGAATTGCATTTATGGAGACCCTAGTGTGCATAAGGTGAAAATATCAGTACGTGTATATGTATCTGTTATGTGTTTGTGAACGATATGGTGTACCTTTCGTACAAATAAACCTCTTAGACATTGAACAGTATAGTTGATTAATTCATCTTCCATAAATGAAAATACAAAGGCTTTTATTGTACTTTTACTGTCTTATGAGCACACAATAATTGAAATTTAGGAGGCAGGAAACAAATTTGAAGAAGCACCACCACATGAAGAAAGAAATAAACTACAGAGCAGATATTCATCAATCCATAGACACGGCACACATTTGTGCTTCTGCGTCTCACTTCCGAAGATTATCTAATAGCTTGACATGTTCCATTTCTAGAAACTTACGCATATTTACGTGGTTAAAACTAACATATAAGTGTTTCAATCATCAATCATCTTATTCGTTTGCGCAGTATCTAGTTTTTCTCATCCTGCTACTGTTACACGTAGTATTTTGTAGTGAGATAAGCATATGCATAAAAAAAAGTTCTAAATAGAGTATCTATATTGATCCCTGGTTGATTCTAAAATAGGAATGATGCTTTGAAAATATGCATAATGGAATCCGTATATTAAGTTGTCGACTGTTAATTAGTGTGTTTAGTTCTTGAGTGCCGGATGGAACAGTTTCAGTAATGTTGACATCTATAAGTGGTAGTATGAAGCCTTGCTTTAAGTATTCTATTTTCAACAAATAGGTGTTTGGTTCGAATTCTGTTTCACCCGCTTCAGCCTTTACACAATAAATATGTTTCATGGTGGGGCGTATGAAAATCTGATCTTGACAACTAAATTCTAACGACAACCATTGCCTCAAATCAGACAAGGATTTAATTTAAGCTGATGAGGTAGTCAGTGTACACTCATAACTAAATGCTGAAAAATACTTCACTTAACGACATTAGGTAAACTCATGTACTGTTTCCATTTCATTGAATGTTCAGTGTCCTTATTATATTTATTTTAGTCTATTTAATTGGAATAAATAAATAAATAAAATAATGCATCATGAAACTATACAGCACTTATGTTGTTGTATACTTCTCTTTCAAATGTTTACTTTTGTTTTATTTTTAGATGGTAGTACTATAGCACCAGGATTGAACATGTCTTCTCGAATATACTTCTTCGTTCCTGACTTTTGTAGATCTTTTTACTCAGACGCTGCCGGTTGGGCTACTGCAAAGCACGACAGTAGTGTACATGTAAGTATAAGGCAGCGTAGAAAAAAATACTAAGCATTTCGGTGCATTTATTTGTATTTATTTTGCATTCTTTGAAGTTCAGTTTTTCGACATACTATATGATTTAAATTCTAAATAGTTTTTATGCTACGCTGATGTTGTCAAGATCAGCAGAAGTAGACTGATACATATACAGTTTCATGCACATGCTACATTGAGTAGAATATCCACTATTTTTTTTTTCTTGTCTAATTTTCCTATGAGGTGTTTTCATAAAGTTCATTGGGTAAAGCCCTTTTCCAAGCTATAAGGGATCAATATATAAAAGTAACACTTATTTTTGGAATCTGTCTTTCCAGTCAATATTTAATTATGCATTATGTATTAAAATTTCATTGTTTCTAATTAGCTTTGTCTCTTGAATCGAACTTTTCTGTCACTGATGTTATTTTTTTTCTCATTAATTATTGAATTTCTAATGATTTATTCTATTTATTTAATGCCTTCTATTTTACAGACCTGGAATGTCATGTTATTTTATGTACCTGATGTTTAGAATTTTAAATTAGCTCTAGTTATACACTTTTGTAGCAGACACCAATATTGTGAAGCATTTTTCCATGCCTTCATAGTTTTGGGAACTGATTCACTCGGTAATTCTGTTGATTTTCTTGATATGAAGTTGTATTTAGTGGTATTAGTGATAGATGTTAAAAGAAGTGGTGTTCCGTCTTCGAAAATCTGTAATTATCGAATTATGTGTTTCACAGAGATTCCCTTCAACTTCTGGGGCGTCTTACAGTGGTATGGTTTTGTAAAATAATGTAATGGTTAGTTTCCGCGTAATGATCGTTTCTATGAAACGATATATATATATATATATCAAATACTGATGGAACGGATAAGGATGTCGGAGGCAGTATCGGAAAGACAAGACAGAATTTCATTGATTTGAAATCAGAGTGGAAATCTTCTGCACTCTGCATAAACGACACAATAAGGATATTTAGTTCATCTGTATGAGTCAGAAATTTGGTGCGTCACGAAGATCATTTCTAACAGGCTGCAGACTTATACCATCAACTGCCTTCACTAACTCCGTATCGGTCAGATGGTCAGAAAGAATCTGTAACTCTCGCGCTGGGTCTTCGGGTGGGGAACAGAGAGTTTGGGGACATTTATGAGATCGTGTGAGGAGGAGATGGAAGCCAGCTGATAAGGTTTACAGACAACAAGATGAAATGAAGATGTGCTGTCGAAGCCCTGTGTTCCACTCGGAGCTTAAGGGAATTATATATATATATATATATATATATATATAAATTGGCGAGTATGAACGTGGTATACTCGCAGTCTACATCAGCAACTCAAAATTTTCTACTGATGAACTTTAGTCACACAATTTAAATAATAGTTTCCTGAAAAGAGTCTCTTTGCTGAACTGTGTAACCTTAATATAAATCCACTATGTCGTCGCAGAAGAACCTAGAAGACCTGGATTTCGCGGATGATTTTTGTTTGATGTCACACAAAATCGAAGACTTACAAGCGAAAACCGACAAACTGGTCGAAGAAGCAGCAAAGACAGGACTCCAAGTGAACATAGACAAGACAACAACAACAACGGCAGCAACTTCCAGCGCCAATCACCATCAACGGGAGGGATTTGAAAGAGGTCACTTCATTCACTTATCTAAGGAGCATTGTCTCAACTACAGGAAGTCAGAACGGACGAGGATGTCAAATCGAGCGAGAATCGGGAAGGTGAGAAACACATTCTTCAACCTGAAACCAATTTGGAAATCTTCGTCACTCAGCCAGCATCAACAACAAAATTCGGTCGGCTTTTCAATACAAACGTCAAGTCACTTCTTCTATACGGATCAGAAACTTGGTGGACGGGTCACAAAGAATATTTCCAACAGCCTGTTACAGACCTTTATTAACAACTGTCTTCGCTCTATACTGAAGATCAGATGGCCGGGCCGGAAAAAATCACCAACAAGGAATTATGGGAACAAACCAACAGGCAAGGACCAATCTCCAACCAACAAATATGCAGGAGAAAGTGGAGATGGATCGGACACTCGCTAAGGAGACCGCCGGGTGACATCGCGCGTTAGGCCATTGCTCGAGTGGAACCAGGCCGAAAGGGAAGCGGCGAGTGGGACGTCCAAGGGTGACATGGAGGAGATCGTGTGAAAAGGAGTGGAAAGAGTATGGACTAACATGGATGCAGGTGAAAAGTACGTCAGAAGACGTGGAGTTGAAGCCCTATGTTCCACTAGGAACCCAAAGGAACAATAATAATAATGTCATCGCACTGTCCACTCATTTACCACTCGTATTTTCCATGAAATTCTGCTTTATTCGTTCATAACTCCCTGTGTTACAATGTGAAAGCTTCCACGATCTCTCTTTCTCCTTCTATCAATGTATGAGAAGAATGAATTGAAGTTATTATGCCATTTAATCTGGTCTTGATATCACGTCCTTTCATTCTGAGACCCATAACTCTATGTGCCACCATTAGTATTGTTTCAACAGGCTGTTGTATTATTTCGTATTAATTTCTAGACGTTGTGAAGTGAAACAAGGAAGTTGTTTTCGAATTCTCTGTTATTTTCAACGTAATTCTTTGGTTGTATATATCTGAGTGACTGTACTTGTTCCTACTATGGATAACCTCGTAGTGTTCTGTTAGTTCTGCCAGTCCAGTGCACTCCATCTTCTGAGATTACTGAATCGTATTGATTTGCTTTTTTATATTTATCTCAGTCATCGGATTTATGTACTATTATGTTGTTGTGTACATACACATACACAGCGGAGTGAAAATTCAGGGACGACGGAAATTGTGGCAAATGCAAAAAATTTATTGGTAAATATTTATCTGGTGGATGATAACATTCATCTGTTGCACCAAAGAGTTTAATCCCTACTGCTGGTATTTGTGTTCATTGATTTGAATTTATAATGTTTAAGAAACGAAATCCTTCTTAGATCAGTCATATATCTGGGTAGTCACGGTAGAGTCTTTCTATACCACTTTTTTCATTTGCATTGAGAATGTGCTAAAGTATCTTGTGATCCCGGTCCTTTAACCAATTTCAGTATAGGGGTTAGACATTTTCACCACAGGTAATGAATCACAGACACACTATGACGGAAAGCATTTGAAGCATTTCATCGGACTGAACATCTTTTCAAGATTTTTGTTGTTGTCATGTTTGAATGATCTAGTGTGTATTTGACGTTGGGATTCTTCAAGTGGTTGATGTGTTCAAGTATAAAATGCACAAATCTGTTGTTTAGTTAAAATGGTGGTAGTTTTCTATCATGTTGTGCTTACTACTGAATGGCATAAATGTTTGCTAAACAGTCATAATATAGAACATGCTTACAGTATTTTTGTAGTGTAAACATTTTATGCAATGTTGACTCAGTGTCACTTAATTGCACGCCTCTTTCGAACAACAGCTGATTGTTGACTATTAGACGAAATGAATATTAGAATACTGGTCTGTTATCTAAATTGCCAGTGTGCGTATGATATTCTTATACTGATGATCACTTAGGCCTGTGTTCATCAAATAACAATTCATAGGGGGAAATGCAGGAAGTCAGTAAGCATTTAATGAATTCTCTTAATGCAGTGCATGACTATATTTCCGTTCTATGTGGTTTTTTTGGCTCTTTATTTCAATAAATTACACTTTCACTTTTATGTATTAGAAATTTGAACTTGGATATGTAGTGCTTTTTCGAGCAGTGTAACTAATTTCATTCTAAGGGGATCGACTAATAATTGGGTAAAACGATTTGAATGTATGTCCTTTTCCAAGTATTTTCACTGTATATTTTAGGGTTTGCCTATTCTAAAGTTATGAATAGATGGGTATTTGTTGACTTGTCAAACGGTGAGAAAGGAAATCATAGGCTCAGTTTTAGTTTCCGTTAACGTCCGTCTTAGTGGTAATAAGTATGATGACTCCTATATATGGAATACACTTGTCCTATAACTAAATGTTTTGTATTAGAAAAATCCGCATTTGAACTTTATTCACATAAAATGTGGAGACATTTTGCAAGTCACTGTGCAATACCAAGCTCCCTCGTCTGTCTCTATGTCGTATCTTAGTTTATTCATTCTGTCAGAATTTTATGTTTTATTGATGATTAGTATTATCGTGAATTTATATATATATTCTTCATGCTTTTGAATCTTGTTTTGTGTTTCCTCTTTCCAGTTAATTAGATTTTCCTCTCCACGTGAACAGTCGCTAAATGCAACACTAAATCCTTTGAATAAAGCATTTTGTCCAAAGGTAAAGGCTGGTCCAGACTGTCCTCCAACTGGAATGATCCCCCTATCACCGTGTTCTAACCCAAAGATTGCGGTCCCGATATTTGCCTCTCAGCCACACTTTTTAGGAGCAGATCCACACATTCGTGAGGCTATGGATGGAATAAGAAAACCGAATGAATCACTCGACTCTACTGTATTACTTATTGAACCGGTAAGTGTTGAAAGCGTTACTACTACTAATTTAACTTCTGCATACTAGTCAGGTTGCACTGTAGTATTAATTAACTTTTCTAGCATTTTTGATACAATTTGATTTTCAATTTCACTAAATTCTGTGTAGAATTCTTTTCTTCTTATTTAGAAGTACACTATCACTAGATTTGTTTTGTGTTATTATCTGTCATTTGTGCTTGTTATCTTTACTGATAGTTGAATATTTTTTGAAAATTTAAGTTGGAAGTGAAATTTTACAATGATAATCTGATAGAAAAGCATTGAGGTATTTCTCTTTAAGTTATTTATTAAGAATATAGTCGACACTGTTTAAACATTGTCATGAAATATCTTAACTACTTGGCTTTCAACACATTCCTATCCCTTGTGTATTGTATCATAATATTGACCAATGCCAATAAATATTCCTGTTCGCTTTTATCAACGCGACCGTTGATGACACTTTTTCCTAATAAATTAAGATGCTACAAAGTGCGACTACAACATCTTATCAGTTAATGCAAAAAATAATATCCTGTTTGAATATATCACTGGGTGTCTTGTCAGAACAGTGTGATATGTAAACAGCTTGATGGTATTCGAAGTTGTTGTTTTTTTTACTCAGGACGACAACAATGAAAATTATTTGCCAGTCACCGATTTCTGATATTTTATCGTCAGTGTTTCATCACCAGGCTAGAAAATGTGCCTTGAACTTATGCACTGAAATTGTTCCGTGTAACTCTGCCTCTACCATTTAAGATTTGGGATGTTCAATGACAAGTAGGGTAATTTTCTATTTATTGAGAACGATATATATATATATATATACATATATGGTTTGCCTATTTAGTTCATGTCATTTATTTTTCCTAATTTTCTAGACTACTGGATTCATTTTGGAAGCCTACAAAAAGGTCCAGATTAATGTTTATGTCGAAAATGATGGTGATTTGTAAGTTGTTTTATATATTGCGTGGTATTTTTTTTTTACTACAGTTATTTCGTTGTGTGCGTCGGTGGTATAGCGGTTAGGACGTTTGCCGACCATGCATATGGTCCGGGGTTCGACTTCCGGCCGGCGCATTGCTTTACCTCACTGAGCCAGAAATAATCCTGGTAAAGAGGAAAGGTTGGGCATGAGGCTAGCAACCCCATCCTGTAAAAATTAAACACTGCTACAGAAACTTCAAGCCACTATCTTGGAGCCCTATGTTCCACTGAGAACGTGAAGGAAAAATTATTATTATTATTTCGTTGTAAAAATTTCCGTACAGTTTTACTCGTAAAAATGGTTTCCTACTTTCCAATTTTCTGCTGTTGTGTAATCCATGTGTATTTGAATTTAGATGTTGTGATTTTATTGTTTACTGAAAGGTGATACTCATAGGCAGTCGTAAGTGACAAGAAAAAATATAAGTTCATGGATATTCTGGAAGTTTTATGCTTTTTTTCATTAAAAGGCAAATAATAGTGCAGGTTACATTTAAAAACGGATGCAATCATAAACTGAACTAAATTTTGAATGTGTGACTTTGTACAAAAGCTCACACAGGTAGAGAAAAGTGAAATTCAAGGAGACTATAATAAAAGAAACTGAACGCGAGAACAAATAAATGAGAATTGAATTCATCTGATGGATCACAAAGAGTGAGTGCTTTAGTACCATGGAGAACGATTTCCATTGGTTCTTACGTTCTCGAGGAACCAATCTAGGCAGCCTGAAGCTGTCTATGTGGCTCAAAACAACAGTCATAGACCATGTGAGTTGATACCATATTTTTATGTGTGGCCACCCGTTTGAGTGCAACCGTAGACTTTACTTTTGCAAGTTACTGATGAAGTATCTTACATAGTATTCACATTGCCTGCAGAGTATGACTTTCGAAATAACTATTTTACGGCTTTTAGAAGGTCAACACCATTATTATCTAAACTTCAGTTCAGTAGTACACTTGTTCGTAAATTTATTTACTTGTAATGTTTGAAGTAGCGCCAAGGCATATGGATTACTTCAGCTTAAATGATTCAACATTTTATTGAATATTATGGTGTGACATTGTTATATAAGAAATTAACCCACATTTCATTTTTTATAACCTGGTAATTTTAATATTGGTGGGCTGAAGTTCACGCTATCGAAGTTTTTCTCTATGTCTATGTTTTAGTTATTTATTTGGTCAAAGTTCTTTTACTAAAATAATTATGAGTTATAGGGTGACAGAAAAAAATGCTGTACAAATGTAGTACAGTTTGATATGATTATTACACGCATAACAAATCTCAGTGAACATGTGTAGACTCCATCGCTTGTGATGCCAGTGTTATCAGTCTGTGAATTCAAGTTGAGAACAGATTAGGCTACTGTTACTACCACATTATCAGTATATTGAGACAAAATATTTCTACTTAATGTGTCTAGACTGTCTACCAGGAAGCCAACACACCGTCTAATTTTCTCACTCTATCTGAATTTTAGCCTGATGACCGTTTTTAAATACATTTGATAAATCAGTGTCTTCAAATTCTAGTTCACACATAACTTTCTATGTCTGAATGGCTTAGCAACACACTTTATACCATCAGTCCAATGTTGGTAAAGTCAGTGTGTTGTAGTCTAAGTTATATTGCTTCGATATATATTTTTTATTCGTTGGTTTTTATTTTCTGAATATTGCCTTGTGCTCACTCATAAAAGCCTGTTTGCTTTTATGGGCTCGTTTTTATTGATGTCGTCCCTCGAGGCTTTTTTTCTCTCAATGTACTTTCAATCAATCTGCGTGTTGTTTGTTGATTTAATCTAGTTCATTTAATACTTCTTTGTATGCATCTTGCTTCTTTTAAGACACGAGTGATTTTAATAATGATATTGAATAAAAAGTGTTTTTTTCCTGTCTTCCTATTTCTCTGCTTTCCAGAGGTGAAGTCTACAGAAGCATGAGAGGACCATACTTTTTCCCTTTAGCCTGGTTCACTGAGGTTAGTAAATCACTGGAATCATAACTTTTCTGTTGTTAGAAATTCACTTTAACTTCTATGTATGGAAACGGAATTCATCTTTTTTTTTTTTAAATCAACTAAGCAATAAATTCATGATGTGTTCAAATAATTGATAATCTTCAGGAAGTCGTAGTATTAGTAGTGGTTTGTGTTTTATGTTAATTTTTTTGTATTAGTAAATCTTTACATATTTTTCGGGAGTATATCGACTGTTTTTTTGGATACGACGTGTTCGCTAAACAAATCATTCAGACTATGAAAAGTCGTATACACCATTGGTTTATTAAGTAAATAGTACTACCATCCTGTAACGACGATACAAAACAGGCAATGATCTTTCATCACCATTTCAGCGCTTATTTTCAAGCTAAAATTTTTAGCAAGTTTGTTCTAATAACTCATATTTGGGACAAAAGATTACACAAACTTCTTCAATACAAACTGTTCTGATACAAAAAAAAGTATGAATTGGTTAGATGAGGTGAGCGAGCACTAAAGAGTTGATATCAATTTAATTCAAATGTCGAGTAATGTAATTCAACGAATTTATCTGAAATGTATAAACTAGGACAGTTTGATTTAATGTCAACGACACCACCACCCCGACATCATAACACATCAATAATGAATATACTTTAAAGTCATATGAATTATCAACTGTTAAATAATTCAAATTGAAAACTTACATATAGGCCAGCCAATAAAGCAAAGATTACATTATACTCGGACATGTGGTAAATGAAGATTGCAAGGTGCATTGTTGACTCTCTGGTGTCTACCGATTTCCTCTACTCATAGAAAAAAAATGCGTATTTTGATGGGATAAAGTCAGCTTTAGGTACTTGTCAACATCTTAATACAAAGTAGCAACTGCGAATATAATGACAAAAAGTGGTGTTGTGATATGATTATTCAGAATGATTATACTGGCACTATACAGCTCTAAGCCTTATAGATATTTTGAAACAACCTTGGAGTGGTGATTGTATCTAATATACATATTCACTAATTTCAGGTGACACGACTATTAGGATGTTTTATTACCTGTGAAGAAAATAGTTGTCTGTAGTGCAGAGAAAATATGTTTGATCAGGACTTCATACATACTTGGTTAGAATATTTGACGTCACCACTGTCCAGTTATTCTGTATATTGGATACATGATTTAGAAACAGTGTACAGTTCAGGGCTACAGACCGTTATGTTACATCGTAAACAAGATTTTTAAATTGATTACTGATATGCTCTCAATAAAGTTACTTAGTTTGCAATTGTAGCTGTCTAGCATCAAAACTGATCACTACCCTGCCATTTGTTTTGCATGAAAGTGGACCTTTGATGTTTTCTTATAGACATTCAGTTTATTTGCAAACTGCATTCAGGGTTCGCTAATGTTGATATAATATAATAACTGTCGCAGTATTTTATCTTATGAACATGTTATACAAACCGTTTTCAAAATATTCTTTTCAGTATGCAGTAGCTGATGAAAAGGCACTGAAAAAAATATCGAATTATATTCTTAAACCAAAGAAAGTAATACCTATTGTTTTGGCGACTGTTGCTTCGTTGGCGCTTGTGTCAGCTATTATCTTGATTGTTGTTCTCCTCACACGTTATGATCGAAAGAAGACTGACACCTCTTCTGTTCATGCTCAAAGTGGGTCTGGATTCTTGCCAGCCAGCACTACATACCATGATAAAACAGGTGATAGCCCGTTTGATCAGTGGACAATTAAACCCTCACCAGAACATGATGCTAATCAGGTTAGTCTATATGTGTCTATATCACTCCTATTTGAAATCTCTCATATATATATATATCTTTAAAGACTGAGTAACTTTGCTGTAGTTACTATCATGTGTTCATAAAGAATTCATCTCTTTTATCAACGGATACTTGCGTAACAGTTCACCGCACGTCTGTTACTTTCATCCATATCGATACTACGTGTTGTGAATGTGCATATTAATCAGTGAATATGCTGTTCTAGACTATACACATATATACATGTTGTATATGGTCGACTGAATATGGGTTGACTCCTTATATACTATTAACCCTCACTTCTAGTTGTGAAAGGGACGTCGATGACGATCCCAATAATCTTGACATACTACCTAACTTTTTGTTAATTAAACTAATTTGTTTTTCGAAGCTACGCCACCTTGAAGTCAAAGTATGCTACAACTTTGAATCATATCTTTATGAAGTTTTAAATTTAGTTCTCGATATTAAAGAAAGTTTCCATGACATTTGTTAGTACCTTTTTAAGTGCACTCGATATGAATTTCTGCTTTTTCTTTACTCATATATTGAAAGTATATCTAGGACACATTTGACTTCGTTATTTGTTTTGTACATCTGTATAAACGTTGTGATTATTTGATCCACTTGTATTTGTTTATTTATCATCACTTGCCTGAATAAAACTTTAGGACAATGTAATCGACTGCCTAGAGTTTTCTCCTAACAAAATACCGTCTACACTATTCAAACCCGTGAGTAATTTACCAGTAGTCATCATTTGCATAAATCTAATCTCTTAGATACTAACCCTTTGAATCATAAATAAATTTATCAGGTTTTAACATTTGTATCAAACTGTAAAGGCAATAGGACATTATTTTCAGTTATCTGGGGAGTGGTGATGGGCTCATTGAAGAATTTATTAACCTGCTTCATATATTTTCTCTGTTCTCTTTTTTTACACATTTCATTTGTGCTTGTGTATGATAATAATCTCTTATATTTTGGTGATTGGACTGTATGCAATGTTTCTACTGCTTCTCCTTTTAAAACTCCTTAATTTAATTAGAAGGTAACAAATGGGTATGGGCATAATATCGTGACTAATGTACTCCTAACTAACACTGGTCTTTGGTTACATCTCATTTACCTGATCAGATCAGTTGTACTGTTGTATCATCACGTTTTTTGGTTGGTGAAAACAATGCCTGCTTCATTTGGTTGTTTGCTTTTTCTTTCAAAATTGAGTAAAGAAAAATTATCCAGTGTAGTCCAGACGTCATCTACACGCCTTTGTTTCTTTTTTCCACTGAATACTTCTCGCTTTATTTATCCATTGTCTCTGCCGAGATATGCACAGACTACTATCGTTATCTAAACTCCAAAAGGAAATGTATAATAGGAAATACATATATTTAAATAATACACTTGGTTTCTCCATTAAACTTCACTCACTTCAGAGACTCTGGGATTGACTTGCTACCAGGGAATAATCTCGTTGACTTAGAATATGCAGACGATATAGTCCTCCTAGGCGACGACTTTGACAAAATGCAGAGTCTTCTAAACACCTTGAGCTGCAATCTACGAATGTTTGCCTTGCGATTCGCTCCCGCCAAATGCAAGATGATGTTACAGGACTGGACTACATCGACGCCTAGTTTGAAAATAGGAAGTGAAGTGGTGGAGCACGTTGACCGCTTCACTTATTTGGGAAGTACCATCAGCCAGTGCCAACGGGTTGATCTCTGACGAAATCTCAGCACGAATACAGGGGGCTCGTTTCGCATTTGCCAGTTTACGCCGACTCTGGCGTAGACGAGATGTTCGACTATCGACCAAAGGGCGGGTGTACTGCTCAACAGTCCGCTCCGTCCTCCTTTATGGTTGTGAGACCTGGTCACTGAGAGTGGAAGACATGAAAAGATTAGCTGTCTTCGATCATAGGTGCCTGCGTTGCATCTCCCATGTGAAGTGGTATAATAAGGTGAGCAATATTGTGGTTAGGCGTCGAGTGCTAGGTAAGGAGGGGAAATCAATATACACGGCTGTGAAATTACATCGACTGAGATGGTTACGACATGTGTTACGTATGTCTAGTCATCGCCTTCCTCGACAATGGGCTATGTTAGCTGACATAGGGTCTGGCTAGAAAAAAGCTAGTGGCGGTCAAACCAAAACATGGCTTCACCAGTGAATGAAATCTACAACAATTAATTTGAGTCACGTAGGAAAGTGTAGACTGAGTGACTGGTTGGGTTTCTCGAGACGACAAAAACCAATGACTGGAAACAATTGGTGATATGGCTCAAATTCGTTCTCAATGGCTGGTGCAGATGCATCCACTCCTTGTGACTTATGATTCCCAATGAAACCATATTGTTCATCGTTATTGCTACTCCTTTGTCCCACACCTCTGTTTACTGTCTTTATTATGCATTTCTTCTACTTCCTTCTGTTGCTTTGTTTGCTACATGGAGTGTGGCGACTTGAACTGCTGCACAACGGTGCAAAGTTCTATGTCGAAAGCAGACAGACAGACAGACTATAGAAAGATGACCGTATGATAACAACTGTAAACATCATATCCATTTCATGAAAATTAATGTAGAGCAGATATCATCGAATGTGACAATGCATCACAAAAAGTATCTGTTAATGTGCAAAACAAAAAATTTAAGGGATTGTATGAATTACTGTAATGTTGAAAACCACAGTTGCGGATTTGTGTGTTTTCGATACCAAGGTTTTTCCCCGAACTTAGTCATTCAACTGATAACATATAAATAATTATAGTGGCTACAGCCAGATGAAATGAGTCAGAGTGCTTTCCATAATACTTTAGTGTATATAAGTGTTAGTGTATGTCACGGTGAATTTAATTTTAAACGCTTCTGTTCTACTAGTAGTTGATAGAATGCTTATCTTTATCTCACGCTTTATCGTATGTTGTTATATGTCCTTGAAACAAAAAGCAGTTGCTTCACTCTTCACCGGCATTTAATTGATTTTGCTACCATTCAAGAAGAGGCAACTTATGACGAATGATGTGACTGTTGTATATAATCAAGGCAGAGGTGATTGACCACCGTGGTGTCCCTTCGATAGTTTTTTTGAAAACAGCAGTCACTCTTCCATAGGTCAGATGATTTGTAACATTCATGATAACGACCACTCAGCATACAACAGTCGAACTGGAAAATTACAACTTTAATTTCGAGGATAGAAAAGAAAACAGCCACATTTTCATTTTTCAGATCTCCCAGTCGCTTTCTTCAGTTAGTAATTTTTTGTCTTTAATTGCTTGGCTTTCTTTTATTCTCTGTCATACTATTTTTCTCTCTTCAAATATATATATATATATATATATATATATATATATATATATATATATATATATTCAACCATTTACTTATTTTCAACTCTGCTTGTATATGCATGCGTAATCAATGGATTTTCAACCAACAAAACTAAACATACTTGTTTAATAATATGAGAACGCCTACGCAAACCGTGTGGTTTCTTGAATGGTGGAATATATGCCTCATTCTTTCTGTGAGACTGATTCGCAGAAAATAGGAGTTATTTTTACACTACACCTGTATGTTGATCAGATGAAATCTTCGGATATATATATATATGTGTAAGTGTATCCGCGAGCTGCTAGGTGGTAATTTAATAGTTCAATCGTCGTTTGATGATAAGATTTCTTAAACGTTGTGTCTAAATTTAACTTATCAGACTGTGATGCTGTACCCTTTTTTGAGTCTGCTAGCATGTGTTGTATGGTCAATATTTTAAATAACTAAATGTTCCCGATGTAATATCCAGCATTTCCAGATATCTTGAGTCAGTCGAATCTGTTGCTGTCATGCTGTTGTTTTACATTTCAGTTGGCTTTTTGAATGTTGTGTCAAACTTCTGCTAAGGTGTTCTGATTGTTCTATGATACATCACCAAGGAGTAATCAGAATTTCCTTTCATTTAATTGAATTCTGTCTAGTCGTTTAGTTTACAATAAGAATTATTGAGTGGAATGGCTACTTAAGAAAACTTCTTTTATTACTCCAGTTCGTCGTCGTTGGATTCACTATGAAAATTAGTTTACTCAATTAGGAGTACTCTTAAAGGTCTAAAATTAGAAAACATTTCAATGTAATTTTCTTCATAAAACATACAAACGTTATCGCTTGCCAATTCTTCTCCAAATTATCAGTCTAATATGCTAAACCTTGTGTATTGTCTATAGATTATTTCGATTTCAGTTGTATTTTCTGCCATACAGCGTTGCAGAAATACTGAGTCGTGGAGTTCGCCAAGTCAACTGAGTCCCCTTGCTCATAGAAGGTTACTGTTGAATGTTACTTTTTAACAATGTCACTATGTTTTATTTATTTCGCTTATTTTACTAGGTTACCGAATCAAGACCTTTGCTCAAGCCTTCTGATTCGGCTGGAAAAGCCGTTGCCTAGGTATCTTATCACACCGCTGCCACTATTCTGCCTCTTAGTATTCAGTCATGCCTAAATGCTGCTCACTTTTTAATGAAATCGAATGAAATACTTTTTTTATGCAACAGTAAAATAATAAAGTGTAACTGTGAAATACAATTTCTTTTCGTAGTGCTTCCTTCTCATAACCTGATAATCCCAGTGCTCCCTGATACATTTTCCACAAGTTGTGCTCATTGTTACCACTACTGAATAGAGATATACACACTTCACACATCATTCTACCTAGAAATCATTTTATTAATGAATACAATTCTTTTTTGTATACGAATTGCAATCAATCTGTCTCCTGATTTTCGGTGGAAAAAAGAAACACATCTAAACTTTCGGTTACTAGTTCACAGTTTCTTTTTATTCGGTGCTTCTTGTTCCTTTGTATATTTTCATTCTTATATACGTGAAAAATCCAACACAGAAGAGAATATATGTGTGTTTTGTTCTTTCTTAAACGTTTTGACCGTTTCACTTTGGAATGAAATTTAAGGCTGTCTTCAGATATCTTCTGTTTAAACACTTACGCATTCCTATCTTCCTGTTATTTTGACTAGTCACCAGTGTTCTTTTGTTTTCCCCTTTTCTTTCAAGTCTTCGTTTGTTTTGTTTTTTTTACTTTTTCCATTATGTCTTTTAAAAGTATTACGATGATTCTTTCAGAAATATAAGAAATTGAGTCGTTCGTTTGTGGATCAAGTACTTAGATAATATATTTTTGTTACACTGTTCATATTTTGCATCTAATGTGTATTTTCATTGTGCTTAGCCTCCGCTCTGCCTTCTGCCTATCAATGCTTTCTATCAATACTGCCTTCAAAATATGTATTATTCATCACTTTAACCCATCTGGCCTTTGTAATTTTGTGAGAAAATCAGTTTTTTTTATTATTATTGATATTTGATATGTAATAAACATAAATCTTAGTGTTGATTACATTAACTTTGTTGTTTTTTTTTCTGGTGTTTTTAATGGGTGCATTATAATTTCCGGGTGATTGCGAATATAAAGTTTTTTTTTTCTTTTAACTAAGTCCATAGCTGGTTGGTGAAGTATGATATAGTTTCCTGGTGTTTCATAAAGTAAGCGTCATCTTGTTTGCTGTGATTTTCTTTTCTTAAACAATAATGACACTGCTTAATCTGATATATCATTCATTATGTCTATGCTGTTTCAGTTTGTTCAGTAAACCGTCTAACATAAATCGCTTACTTTTGTTGCATAGTCATGAATATCACTCTGTGGATTTAACCGTTTAAATTAGTGCTGTTTAAATAACAGTATTATACATTGTTCAGGAGTAACCGATTGCATTTTATGGGAAACCAACTCACAAGCTGATTCGAATATATATATATATATATATATATATATATATATATATATATATATATATCCCGGAAATGCAATAATGTGAAAGGATACTTACATCTATATTTCACTACCCTTTCAGACTTATTTGTCTAGTATCAAATAGCTAAGAAAACAATAGCAGCGGTTATTGTTAGACAAACTAAGAGAACAATTTTCGGATAAGCCTTCTGACTGAATTTGGTTCATAAATGGAAAAGGTGATCACACACTTCTAGCTAACCAGAAAGGATAATAAATGCACATATCCAACAGATCTGTTTCGCGCTTCTTTCATCAAAAGTTCTTCAGTTTACTGTATAGGTTCCCGTAAAGATTTTATTTCAAGTTTCTGTATCTTATGTTGTCGACATATGACCAGTAGATGAAAGCTAATCACCAAAACAATTTGATCACAACCAGAACATATTTCTTGGGAAGACGCCGCTGAGTTATGCCATGTAGCCTACAGTTTTATTAAAATAAAGTTTATTGATATATCATGTACAATGCATGATCTACTGTGAAACCATCAATTGTATTAGGCAAATTTAACCCATTTAAATATATGGAGGAATGTATCCTTTGACCAGGAGTTCAAACTAGTGTGTAGTCACACATATGAAAGAGCACAGAAGGAACCAGTAATCACTGACGCAAATAAACGACTGTCAACAGTGTGATTGATTTATACTCATCGTTGTTAAAACGCCTACCACTTATTGTAGGCGATCTGTTTAGTTTTGAATAAGTATTATGTTGGTCAATGACGCATAGTTATTAGTGGTGAGATTAAAATTAACTGCAGGTCACTTGACCACGATTAGTTTATAGTTTTAAGCGTAGAAATCCCCTTGACTTTCAGTGGTTGTGTACTACAATATCTTATGGCTTAAAGAGTAGGTTCAACTTTTCCACACAGTATTATACAGTCAGCAATCATCTGATTATGAGCAATAAATTGTGCTCGAAACGTCATCAATAAATATCACTGTATAACACTGTGTGACTATATCAAGATCAAATTTATCCGTAATGGAATTATCCTCTATCACAGTGCACAAGCTTTATTCTCACAGGTTAAAGTTTTGTTTACTAAATTTCGAAATGCATCTAGAAGTTTATGGCTTCAGTAATTTTCTGAAAAATTGATCTCATTATTGACTATGGTTAATTCTGTGTATATTGTTATACATTATTAATAAGTGCAGTCATTATAGGCCTGTGGTCTAAAAGATACTGACAAACATTAAATGATTCAATTACTTTGAGGCGTTGACTGTTTAGAAAAGTAACTTTATCCATAAAAAGTGTCATAATCACCCGTCTTGTTACATCAGCTATCAAAAAGCAACATGGTCAACTGTGTAGCCGTCAGTGGCTTTAAAATCTATCAGTTTGTCAGACACAGTAATTTTTTGACTGGTCGTACTCACATAATAAGTGCAGCACGGGACTAAACTAGCAATGCATAGACAAGTTGAATGAGAAATTTCAATAATCTATGCTATTGAGCTTAGTTCAACTGAAGACTGTTGTAGGCTACAAATTAATTCTTCCACCGAAGCAGCAAACTTCAGTGTAAATAGTTTCTAAAACAAAACAAGTTTAATAATTCACTAATCTTATCGACATCTGCAGGAAAGGCACACAGATTTGTTTTCTACTTTCTGTCTTCCTGAAGAAATCGAAATTTGCGCATTTGAGTGCATTTTCAAAAGTAAATGCAATATATCATTACTTCTGTGTATGCACGCGTGCAAAATTATCAATAGTTCGGTGTTTTTTTTGTGACAAAAATCTTATCGATCCATGTGGACTATAGACAGATATATTTGCCAGATAGAAAGAAGAAAATTTAGGTTATACAGAAATTAGTTTCACTTTGAAAATCAATCCAATCGACTGTTTCCCATAGATATTCAGATATCCGTTGTTCCTAGTAGCCAGTGATACCATTTACTTAGAGTTCTGTAGACAGAATTCGACATAAGTTCATAAATGATTGTTTTGAAATTAAGATCACACTAGTAACTCAGGATATTCTAAGCACTTTAGTATTTCCTGCATTTTGGAATAAAAGGCTCAAGTATTTTACTGGTGATTCATTCTGTTATATACCTACCCCATGTAAAACTGATTTAAGTATGCTAACCATGTGAAGAGGAGTTGGAAGCTTAAGGAGCCGGCTGAAAACGACTAAAGAGAGTAGAATGAAATAGAGATGTGGTGCTCAAGCCCTATGTGTCCACTAGGAACATAAGCAAATAATCATCATAGTTGATCACTGGTTAGTGAGTCAGGCTTTCTAGTTCTTGCCTCTTAACTGAAATTTGTATCTCCCGTTATTTGTCTCCAAACGGCCAAAATAATGTAGCTTTATTCACATATTTCCCACTGTGAAAGATGGCTCGATGATGTAATTTGACAGCAGGTATACTTCTAACTGTTTGGAACTAGTCAGTTGAATGTGGTTGCAAATCGTCAAGTAATTTCGCTCTCATCTGTCAGACAAAAGTTTTCTCATCAAGTTTGGATTAGAATGTACAAACCTTGTAATTTGACATAGTACTGAATGCCTAATGATGCCTGTTTCTTTCGTGATAAGATTATATTCAAAATAAGCCTGCTGTAATTTACTATGTCCGATATTTGTGTTATGAATTGTCCTTACATACTCACATCATTAGTGTTTAGTATGCTGTTTTTATGATGCCGGCAGTTTGGATTTCATAACATTCTGTTAGCTAGGATTAGGAACGACTCATATCTGTTCAAAGTACGCCTACTTGGATACCTATCTTGTTGTCTCATCAGCTATTTCTCTGGGCACCCCTTAATGGAAAATCAGCTTGAAAAGTCACTACGCAAAACATATACGTTCTTTGATTCAGTCTCCAGTGGTGTTATGTGCTCTCAGTGATGAGAAGTTCTAAACCAGGGAAATCGGTCTTCCAGTTGTCCTTAGTTTCGGGCTACTCTCTAGCTGATGCCGGTTGATGGCAGAATTTACCTAGTAATCACAGTCGAATTGATTTAAACTTCTCCTCTGACTAGTGTATTAATCTGATTACTAGCATATGGCCAGCCCATTTAGTTGGTGTTGCATTTTTTATGTTACAGCTTATTGACATAATCTCAGTGCTTTAAATTTAATGCAAATCTCACTTTTAAGCCAGTCAAGAGCGAATGTTTCAGTTTACCCTACAAATAAAATATTTGGAAATGATAGCATTTCAGTTCGTCAATTCCACCTGAATTGTTCAGGGGAAGTAGGATTATTCCCTGATCAAGCCAAGCACACGTAGGTTATTTTTTTTTATTTGAAATTTAAATACCGCGAATGTGTTTCGCAAACAAATGATGCCTACTGTTTTGTTTCTGCTTTTGAGGAGAGCAATTACTCACTCAGTGTACTAATTCTTTTGACGAACACCATCTTCTAATTTATGGATTAATTCTGCTGCTTCAGCTTTGTCCTAATCATATGCATAGAGGAACTGTCCCTCTCCTGAGTGAAGAAAGTTTGATAATAGATGAATTCTAATTTACCGGTTACTTTTAAATGTTCTAGTACTTTGTAGTTTTGATGAAATTTAGATTTTTGATTGTCTAACTAAGTTAATGTCAGTCAGTAATCCTTCATCAAGTCTACAGACAAACTATTCAGGTCAGACAAAATATTAAAAGTTAATTAGAATATTTATGAGACAGTACGGAATATAAAAACAAAACAAAAATACAGCACTATTTTTCAAAGTGTTCCACGCCATGTTTACTGATATTAATCACATTAATATTAATAATTAAGCTATAGAAGTATATAGCTATATAAACGTGTATGTCCAACTCTAAGATTTCTAAATGTTAATTAACACTGACATCTGTCTCGAATAGAAAACAACATATTTAGTTCTAAATGTAAGTAATTGAATATGTGACTAGAAATACTGGCGATTCTACTTCCCTCCATTGAGGCCTCACTTGCATACTTTCCTTTGTTTGCATTGATGAAATACATTAAGGTTCTAGATCTGTAAGTCGGAAAATATTCTATTCATGAATTTTAGATAAGATTTTAAGGAAAGCGTCTGTTTCTCTCATCCCAGCTTATTCATATCAGTTGTTCATATAAAGCATATAGGAATAAATGAATCTACTCCCGAGGCAATATAAGCACTACCTATATTGGGAGATATTGGATCTGTATGACTGATACAACTTGTTGTTCATCTGAGTCGACAATATAAAACTATCCACCTTGTGCGTGGATTTTTTTTTCGTTTTTCACATTTCGTCTCTCTAGTGAATGAACACTGTTTAGAAGGCACATCTCAGTAAGACAAAAAAGGCTATTTTAGAAACTTCATGCAATTATTTCCACTCATAAATTCGAACAAAGCTCTGTTCAAAAATGTGTAATTTAACTAGAAAAGGCGTGTAGATTAACATGTATAAGTCAGTAAATGGACTGGTCACTGCATAGCGAATTTCAAATGTTGCACATTAGTATTCAACTTTCACGTGTCATTTCCTGATTTCTTTTTTAAACTCAAATTTTTTGAAATTTTTTTCTTTAAGAGAAATCCAAATAACTATGAAAGAAGAGAATCAATTAAACCTCTAGGAAACGTGATAACTAGAGAAGGAGAAGCAAGTAAGGCAGGTAGTCCGCCTTCACTAAAAGAGAATATTAACTCCGATGACTTGAGTAATCCAGGTATACTCAAGCAGACACAAAGAAATGGTGCCTTAGAAGCAGACGAAGATACTGTCGAAGATATTGGGAAGGGAGGTGATCGACGAAAACAAGTGACCAGTGATACTTAAAGTATATATATGCATATATATATATATATATATATATATATATATATATATATATATATATCAGCGTTCTATTTTTTACACAATCATTGGTAATTATTTTATATTTTCAAGCGAAACAGATTTCTTCTAAGTACATATTTTTGTTTTACGCATTTAT